AAAAGATTCTTTGGGAAGAGACGAATCCAATGATACCCAGTTTTACCTTCTCAGGTCAGTCATTGACCTTCCAGGTCAGGTCAAACTAAAAAAAATGTTGCTATTTTGGGGTCAACTTTGGATATCAAGTGCGCTGCTTACCATATACCGATGACGATGCTGTTTTCTGGTGCCAAGCCAGCTAAAACCTCTTTGTCACACTACCCGACCAGATTTTTGCTGCTGAGGTCATGTCAGGTCAAGTTAGGTCAAGGTCAATAATATGTGTTTGTATTTTTGTGTGTGTCTGTGTGTATACTTATGTGTGCACCGATTGTTTTTGTGTCCATATTACATGAAATCATGATCTGAGAAGCTTTTACCAAAAATGTAGTCAAAAAACTTGACAAAAAGTAATTTCCGCTTACCTAAAACGCAATTATCTTAGATGACCTAGGTTGACCTTGACCTTGACCTTGACATCTGTACATCGTCGAACAACATGTTCCATGATAGTTGGGAGGTAAGACTGGCAAAAAAGGCCGAAATCAAGGTGTCAAAAGCTCACAAGGCCCATAGCCAGCGCAAGATGTTCAGAATTGGCCATTTTGGGTCATGACATGACCTGAAAAACAAGGTCATATCTCTGAAACCAAAAAACACAGAAACTTGAAATTTTCAGTGGACATCAAGAAAGGATAGAGGAGCAGCTATACAAAAAATCAGCCTTCTAGCTCTAAAAATGTTGAGTGCAGAGCAGAAAGACTACCTGGGGGGTGGCAACCACCCCCCCCCCCCATGTGCGGGCGAGGGTTAAAAAAATCCGAGATAAACAAGTTGTGAGACTCGTAATGGATACTAGAACCTGCAAGTTTCATTTCCCTGTGAAAGCTCCTCTGGCAGTGAGGGCGTTGCGAAGTTGCGACATCTGAAGACCGTACAGAGGTTGTCTTATGACGTCATAGGTCAGTGACCTGACCTGATTTGAAAATGCGGTTGGTGTAATAGGATTTGGCTTGAATCAAAGGTCAGGTATGCCAAGTTTCAGCTTTGTATCGCCAGCGTGTTCGGAGCTATCGCGAAAAAAAACAACCCTAGCATCCCCTTGGCCGGCGAGGGTTAACTGTTGACCTAACGACAAATCTGAGAACATACTCAGAAAAGAGATTTGAAAGAGCTACTGATTAAGCTTTTCGGCTCCGCTGTAGCTCTTTGTTCACGAATTGTGCGTCAATTTGTGAAAATTTGTCAAAATAAGGAAACGTATTTCGTGATAATTTTACAATTGGTGGACTCGAGTGACCTCAGCGATGACCTGGTCGAAAAATGATGTGAATGATTCGGAAGAATCTTATATCGAGCTATCTGTTGCTTTTTTCCGCACCTTTCTAGCTTGCTTAACCCTCGCCCTGGCAGGGCATTTTTCATAACACGGCCTGGCAGGGGGGGGGGGGGGTCGATGCGACCCCCCTCGCGATTGGCTCCTATGGCACCTAGAAACACCAAATTTGATAGGTAGGTGGGCCCCCTGGAGTTCTCGCCCCTGTGCAAATTTGGTTGCTCTAGGTCAATATTTAGGGGGGTTTTGGGGGGTATAAATGTAAAAATTTCGCTAAAAACAGGTCAAAAGTTTTTCGCTTATAACTTTTGATCTAATTAAGATAGAGCAAAAAGAAAAGCACCAGTGAACTCAGCACGTCAAGGCGCGTCGAATGATATACTTTTTAGCTTGTTTAAGTGTACTTAAAGTTTTTCTTAAATTTTAAGTAAACTTAAATTTATAAATTAAGTTCAAGTTAACCAAATTGCGTGATATCGTATATCATTCGATTCGGCTGATCACCAGGAACACAATGATACCATTTTTTAAGCTCTAGCGTCATTATGTGCCAAGTTATTGACAAAAACGTCATTTGACCTCAGTTGACCTCATTTGACCTGACCCATGGATAAGTACACCAAACAAAGAAGCACCAAGTGACCTGCTGTTAAGTACTGTGATTTCAAAGCACAAAAATGATAGAACGAAGCGGATAACTCCAGTATTTTCCGAATTTAGTATTTTCCCATAGGCTTAACATTACGACGTAATGACCTCTAACTGACCTCAGGTCAGTGACCTCAAACAACCCGAACTATATGTTATACAACTCGGTGAACTTAGCACATCCTGAAAGTTTGAAGGAAATCAGTCCAAAACTGTGAGTTGGACAGGTGCAAAAAGAAAATTGAAATTTGACCATGACCTTGTACCGGTTTTTCTGACCTGGTGACCTGACCCAAGGTCACCCGGACCTGAAATTTTCAGGTCATATGTAAAAAGGTTGCCCCATAGGCTGTGCCAAACTTGGCGGCGCTGCGCGCCGCCGTTTTTACGCTATCTTCGAAAAACCTTAGGGGGGGTCGCATCGACCCCCCTGCCAGGGCGAGGGTTAATTTCCGAGATAACCCACGCCCTGATGGGGGGCATGTTGGCCCCCCCCCTGTGGTCTTTCTTAAATAGCGAGAAAACGGCGGCGCGCAGCGCCGCCAAATTTTTGGGTACCTTACCGGGCATCAATTTGACACCTTCACACAAAATTTCAAGTCACAGGTCACCTCAGGTCAGGAGTTATTGAGGTCAAACTGAGGTCATGTTCGAGTAAAAAATGAGCAAAAAACATGAGATCTTGAAACGCTCACCAATTCTACAGTTAACAAGCAAATTTAAAGTTCTTTATGTGGTTGTGTAGAGAAAAGACGGCGCTACAAAACTGCCATCTCGGATTTTCGAAATTTTGGGATTTTGACCCTAAAAAATAAAAAAATGATTTTTTTTTTAGAAAAACTCAAAACATTTCCAAAAAAAATTCCAATTTTGAAAAAAACGGGATATATGTGATAGTCCCTGCGCTCTTCGATATACATACCAAATTTTAGATCGATACCTCTTTTTTTGGCCAAGTTATAGCGAAAAAACTGTTAAAAATTGATGACGTCAAATTTTTGAACTCAATTTTAAGCAATCCTAGACCTCGTAGCGCAAAACGGAGGCCACCATTGATATCCCTGTGACGAGCTGCATCGAATCGATACCCATTTTATGCAAAAATATCAACTTTGAAATTTGACCTAATTTGACCTAACCTTGACCTGACCTTGACCTGACCTTGACCTGACCTTGACCTGACCTTGACCTGACCTTGACCAAAACGTGACCTAAGCTGGCCCAAAAGTCTGCCTGACCCACATAATCGCATTTGTCATGTAAAATGGACCATAAAACATGTATCACACGACACCTTCATATTGTGACCCCCCCCCCCCAGTGACCTGACCTCTGTGACCTGACCTGGTATCAGTGACCTCAAATAGCAAAATATGTGCTTGAAGAACATTTCCCCATCGATGATTTTCAATGAAATGCATTTTACTCGATTTTACAACGCATTTCTTGAAATGGCTGTAAGCGGTGAAAATTCGACCTTTGACCTGACCTGTGACGTCATCGGTTTGACCGAGGTCAATGAAATTGGGTCACAAGGTAGTTCTCCGTTGGGGCTATCCAACACCGTTTACCGCTTGTCGCTATGTTGCGTGGTTCTCGAGATCTTAGGGGGGGGGGCAAAATGCCCCCCCCCCCATCAGACCGCGTTGCTCGGCAGACCCCATCAGGGCGCGGGATAACCTGGTGTGACAAAAATACGTCCCCCTCCCCTCCCCCCATGGGAAAGTTGGCTGAGAGGCCCATCCGGGGGCGGGTTAAGCGACAAAAACAAGACATTTCGTGACAGCCAAGTCGCTCGTTCGCTGTTTCCATCGATGTGTTGGAATTTCCAAAGGACTAAAACCGGTATCATCTGCTCCAGCTCACCGGCCCCGAGGCACATGAAGTGTAACTCTGCAAACGAACATCTACCACAACCCAGTTGCAGCAAAGCTCTATATCCCCGAGCGTGACTGACTGCTTCCCGTATCCTTGAACATTGTGAATGGGAAAAAGTTTCGATTATCATTAATATGTTTGGTAATTGGTACCTACCGATAAATGTGATCGCAACTTAACACGCTCAGTGGAAGGGGGGGGGGGATTTCGCCCACCCCTCCTGTTTTTCGCCAATTACTTGCGCCGCAGACACAATATTGATGTGAATTTTCGGCTACCTGTCCATAATTGAATTGCGGATCTTCTCGTGTAACAAATAAAATCGGATCGCAACTTTTCATAAAGTAATAGCGGTGTAAAGTCAAACATCGCGGCGGCGCGGTGGCCGGCGTCGGCCGTTACGCGCCGCCTGAATTGTACATAGACTGTGCCGGGGCGGGACGGTTCTGTCTTTACATCGCGCTCCTTACCGCCGCGCTGATTACATTTGATTCGCGTCAAATTTTGTGAGAAGACTTAGAAATGTACAGGCAATCTTATGGTCTAAGAATTTTGATCCGCCCCTCCCCCTTCCACTGGGCGTAGTTAGTACTCGCAACCCTTCCACTGCGCGTGTTAATCGCGGCTTTCTCGACTTATCGCAACAGAAACGCCTACTTCTTTCCCTCCCTCCCATAAACTCTTTTTTATGAGTTTTGCCTATGTGTACCACATCATGCGAATTTTAGTGACAATGATACGTTTTTTGTCCTTCCTTCTGCCATGTAAACAGATTGCATTTGCCAGAGTTTAAAATAGATAATACCAAAAAATAGCGGACCTGATGGGTCGGGCTGGGTTGGGCAGAGGCTGGCAGCCCGAGGATGGTCCCAAGGGCATGTTGTTCGCCGGAATCAGAAATGATGCTGTCCACGATGGATTGTTTTTGCAATATTTGTCCCATTGCTGATATACGCTATGTACTAACATGTTTTGGTATCGATACGCAAGGCTCGAAGCAAAGGACGCTTAAAAACTGCACTTTAGTCGTCCTCGGTCCTTTGTCACTGCTGACTTGTTCATTGTGCAATGTAGCTAATCGAACGTCTAATGATTGTTATCCTATGGTTACACTTTAAATTTTGCAGTTACGACACATAACTCAAAGACAATGCACCATAGCTGTGACATCACTGTTTATTACACACCAACATGTCATTTTCATTTAAAGTCAATCACATGTTTCTATACAAAGTGACATAGACCGGCTGCACGTGCCAGAGACCAGATGATACCAGTATTGCAGCAGCCCGTGAGCCATCGCCGCCTCGCCAACTCGGCAGTTCTGCCAGCGCCGCCAGCGACTATCGTGTCTCCAGCGCAGCTCACAGTGCCCGCACGCTACGCGCCCTGAGCCGGGCCACCCTCCTGATGACCTCCCGTCCCGTCCCTTCCCGTCCCGTCCCGTCCCGTCCCGTCCGTCCCTTCCCGTCCCGTGCCGTCCCGGTCGCCGGGCTCGGCGGCGGGCCGCTCAGCCCTGCAGGCTGCTCTGGGCGCCGGCCAGCTGACCGGCCACCCTGTTCAGCTCGGCCTGCACGTCCCCGAGGCCGGGAGCCGCCGGCCGGCCGAAGGCGCCGCGGGTGCCCAAAGGACTGAAGGCGGCCGCCGCCGGCTGCCGGCGCGCGCCGAAGCTGCCGAACGAGCCGCGGGTGCCGAGCGTGAAGGTGGGCCCGCCGTTGATGCGGTGCGAGCTGAAGGTGGACTCGCGGCCGTCGCTGGACGAGGAGGCCGACACGCTGCTGGAGATGGACGCGCCGTGGGCGGCCACCGCCAGCATCGCCAGAACGAGAACGCAGCGCATTGTGAGAGTGGGTGATCCGATCAAACGAAAAGTACCTGCGAAGGGGAGAACAGTGTGAGTAAACAGAAGGGACACGTCCCACGCTGTCAGACCGAAGACTGGCCGACATAACTGGGCCTGATTCAACCTAAAGAAAATATTTCCGCTTTATCTTTCCTAGAAATCACTAGCGTGGATGAAATCAAGGTAGGTATCTCAGAGCAAAATCAGAAGTTGCAAACCACGATGCAATTTACTGAAGAAGACACAAGAACACAAACAGCTAGGCTTGAAGAGACTTGAATCCAACTGAGCTGGGCCAATCACTATGTTCCGTGCACTGTTCACTGTCCGGTGTCCACTGCCGGTTCACACCCCCCTGTCGCTCGGCTCACCTGTGTCTCAGACAGTTGCAGGTCGACTGAGACCGGTCGGCACCGGTCGGCCTTTAATACGGGGCCGGTCCACTGCACGCCACTGCACGCTCGCCGAGCCCCGTCAGAACCGGCTGCCGGGGTTTTCAGACCCGCCCCGCGCTGACGCGCACCTTTGTTGTTGGTCCACGCCAGGCCCGCCTGGCCGAGCCGCGACGTGTCCGTTTCCGCGAATTCGCTCCACTTCCGATTGTGAGCTTTTTCTTGATCAGTGTTGTGGTTCAAATGTGGGTGGTGACAGGCAGCAGATTTTCCCATTGGTCCGGGTGTCCCCTAAAAATACGCTCCGGACGTTTCAAAGTCGCAGAAGTCCAAAACAGAATCAGATAAATGTTGTTGATTGCTGTTGAGTGACCACAACAACGTCACAAAAGAGACATCACAAAGCGAGGTAAAGGCTGGACTCTGCCGTGTCACTGCGTTTCGTAAAATTTACGTCAGCATTCAACTGTATCATTCAACTAACTATAGCATAAAGGTCAATCAAACAACGTGGCAATGAGTTATTAAGTTGTACAAGGGACAATTTTTCCTGGAACCTACAAAATAACAGGCCAGGATTCATGTTTGGAGGCTCCAAAGGGCGATTGTAGTGACTCCAAAGAGGGAGAAACGCCAAGCTAGAGCTTTTCGTGCTTCAAAATAATAAATGTAATAAAATGCGGAAATGCAACTTTCACTCTAAGCACCTAGACTAAATACAAACCAAAAGTTTGCAAAATGAAATTAACCCGCGCCTTGATGGGGGGCATTTTGGCCCCCCCTGTGTTTTTCTTAAATAGCGAAAAAACGGCGGCGCGCAGCGGCGCCAAATTTTCGGTACCTTACCGGGCATCAATTTGACACCGTCACACAAAATTTCAAGTCACAGGTCACCTCTGGTTAGGAGTTATTGAGGTCAAACTGAGGTCATGTTCGAGTAAAAATGAGCAAAAAAACATGACATCTTGAAACGCTCACCAATTCTACGGTTAACCCGCGAGTTGCTGGGGGGGGGGGGCGTTAAACGCCCCCACTTTTTTCGCCGGGTATAAAAACGGCGCGCCGCAGGCGCGCCAAATTTTGGGTATCTGTAGGGAATTGATGGAAGTTTATTGTGACAAAGTTTCAAAAAAATCAGTCGGAAATTTTTTTGAAATATCGAGGTTTTAGTGACTTCATGATTTCTGAGTTTTCGACCAAAAACGGCATATGTTCAAAAAATCATATAAAATCACAGAATAGATATACAGACATGCCGTAAACGCCATTAGACTGCCAATACCATGAGCAATCAAATGGCTATCTTCGATTATTGATTATTGTTCCGCATTTTCCAAAATCTTGAACTGAATCTTGGCAATTTCTCGTGACTACTTCACGACCATGATACATACATTTCTTAAATTGAACTTTTTTAGCCAAACTCGTACACATATGAGAAAAGGAATGTCACCATCGTGTTCTACGCTCCAAATTACCCATAAAACATGTGTCACAGGCAGCGAATATCAGTTTTGATTTTCGGGGATATGTGGCTACTCGGTTGACCTGACCTTGACCCTGACCTATGCTTGACTGACCCCTACATGGAGCTGACACTCTTGTAGGCCTTATATGATGGATTGTGCACCGTTTTGACAGAGTTTATGACGAGAGGCGCCCATTGCGAAGTCATGAAGTCCATGCTACTGAAAGCCCGATTTCCGGTGTTTGACCTGACCTTGACCTGACCTGTGACCTCAAAATTCAACTTTAAAGTACTCATCTGAAGCGTCTCGTCGCGTTCTTTCGTTTGCCGCCTCGTGCGTTTCGCTGCGCCTATTGGTTCTCGAGTTATCGGCTGGGGGCGTTTAACGCCCCCCCCAGCAAACGGTGGGTGGCGAAATACCCCAGCAACTGCCGGGTTAACAAGCAATTTTAAAGTTCTTTATGTGGTTGTGTAGAAAAAACACGGCGCTACAAAACTGCTATCTCGGATTTTCGAAATTTTGGGATTTTGACCCCCAAAAATAAAAAAAATGATTTTTTTAGAAAAATAAAAAAATCCAATTTTTTTCGAATTTCGAAAAACGGAATATATGTGATAGTCCCTGCGCTTTGCGATATTTATATCAAATTTTAGGTCGATATCTCTTTTTTTGGCCAAGTTATAGCGAAAAAACTGTTTAAAATTGATGACGTTAAATTTTTGAACTCAATTTTTAGCAATTTTAGGCCTCGTAGCGCAGAACAGAGACCACCATTGAACTCCCCGTGACGAGCTGCATCGAATTGATACCCATTTGATGCGAAATATCAACTTTGAAATTTGAACTCATTTGACCTGACCTTGACCTGACCTTGACCTGACCTTGACCTGACCTTGACCTGACCTTGACCTGACCTTGACCTGACCTTGACCAAAACGTGACCTAAGCTGGCCCAAAAGTCTGCCTGACCCACATCATCGCATTTGTCATGTAAAATGGACCATAAAACATGGATCACACGACACTTTCATATTGTGACCCCCCAGTGACCTGACCTCTGTGACCTGACCTGGCGTCAGTGACCTCAAATAGCAAAATATGTGTTTGAAGAACATTTCCCCATCGATGATTTTCAATGAAATGCATTTTACTCGATTTTACAACGCATTTCTTGAAATGCCTGTAAACGGTGAAAATTCGACCTTTGACCTGACCTGTGACGTCATCGGTTTGACCGAGGTCAATGAAATTGGGTCACAAGGTAGTTCCCCGTTGGGGCTATCCAACGCCGTTTACCGCTTGTCGCTATGTTGCGTGGTTCTCGAGATCTTAGGGGGGGGGCAAAATGGCCCCCCCCATCAGACCGCGTTGCTCGGCAGACCCCATCAGGGCGCGGGTTAACCCTCGCCCGCACATGGGGGGGGGGGTGGTTGGCACCCCCCCAGGTAGGTAGTCTTTCTGCTCTGCACTCAACATTGTTAGAGCTAGACGCCTGATTTTTCGTATAGCTACTCCTCTATCCTTTCTTGATGTCCACTGAAAATTTCAAGTTACTGCGGTTTTTGTTTTCGGAGATATGACCTTGTTTTTCAGGTCATGTCATGACCCATATGACCAATTCTCAACATCTTGCGTTGGCTATGGGCCTTGTGAGCTTTTGACACCTTGATTTCGGCCTTTTTTGCCAATCTTACCTCCAACCAACCTATCATGGAACATGTTGTTCGACGATGTACAGATGTCAAGGTCAGGGTCAAGGTCAACCTAGGTCATCTACAATAATTGCGTTTTGCCAAATTTACTTTTCGTAAATTTTTTTGGCCGAATTTTTTGTAAGAGCTTCTCAGATCATGATTTCATGTAATATGGACACATAAACAATCGGTGCACACATCAGTATACACACAGACACACACAGACATACAAACACATATCATTGACCTTGACCTAACTTGACCTGAAATAACCTCAGCAGCAAAAACCTAGTGTGACAAAGAGGTTCTAGCTGGCTTGGCACCAGAAAACGGCATCGTCATCGGTATACGAGTATGATAAGCAGCGCACTTGATATCCAACGGTGACCCAAAACAGCAACATTTTTTAGTTTGACCTGACCTGGAAGGTCAATGACTGATCTGAGAAGGTAAAAATGGGTATCATTGGATTTGTCACTTCCCAAAGAATCTTTTTGGCTTTTACCGCGAAGCTCTATCTCCAACAGGAACGAAATGGCGCGCGGGGTGGCACCCCCCCCCCCCCCACGTGCGTTTTAGGATGGGAAAATGGCATGTGCGGGCGAGGGTTAAATAAACTAAGAATAGGTGTTGTTATCCCGTACGATAAAGCTTGCGTGGTCAGCGGCTTCGGATGGCTATGAGGATGTGCCTCATAGCTATCCTCGTCGCATGTTGCAACCTAGGAGTCTGTGGCTGCTTTCAGAAGGAGTCCCCCCCCCCGCATCCGGGAGCCGGCGTCCATTTTGTGTTGCGTCGCCATTACTGTGTGTGTCTACTGTCTGCCCAACTGCTCTTTGGCTTGATTGAAGGTGAGGTATCTTGTATCATTTGCTGTGTGCTCAACAAAAAGGTTGTCCATTTGTAAACAAAAGTTATTATGTTGTTGAGCTTCTTAGAAGATGTATAGTATCGCATACTGTTGCCCGTCGTTGGCAGAAGTGCGCCGTTATCGTCTATCCAAGTCAGAATAGCTATATGTTTGGGACTTAAGCTAGCTTGTGGCAGGAATATATCACTTTCTTCAACTTTAATTTAATCATTTTCCAGATTGGTATGCCTTATGATAATAATAATGTTGATATTCGTTTTTTTCACCCATTACAGACTTCTCTGGTAAAGAATGGGGCCATGTACATATGTCCTGGCCTACCTTCACCCCGCGACTGCCGCCGGTGCAAAGCTAATGAAAAATCACAAATGTTTGATGGCTATTTAAGAAACCTGATTGCAAATTATTCAGTTAGTTGTTGTTGTTGTTGTTGTTGTTGTTGTTGTTGTTGTTGTTGTTAAAGTTATAGTTATTGTCCTGGCGTTGTTATTGTTCTCGTTCTCGTTCTCGTGCCCGAATAAATGTGCTGCAGCGCTACTCAGTCTGTTTACTTGCGGGTGGCGGTCGAGAGTCGGGGGCACTGGTTGACGGAATTCCGTCGACGGAATTCCGTCGACCCAGTGCCTCGACCCCGAAGGCCAGTAGTGGTACGTTAACTAGTGCCACTACTGGCCTTGAGCTAGTACCACTACTAGCTTTGGGGGCTAGTACAATTACTGGGTATGGATTAGTAGGCAGTGGCTAGTTACCTTACCAGGCAGGGGCTATTATGACACCTAGTAGACGCACTACCCACGCTATTTACGTGCGTGTTGTTAAACTAGGTGGAGCACGGTGGTCGTATGCATACGAGGCACAGCCTTGTCGAACAAGCTTGTTACTCGGCAACTAGCCTAAAATTAGCCAAATTTACACGCTCCTGCAATGTTATTTTTGCGCTGAGAATTCCTCTACGAGGGGCTTGTAAGTTTTTTTTTTTTACAGTGTAGACTCTTAGACCATGAGAGTTATTCAAATGTTTGTGAAAAACGCTGGGAACTCAGTTAATAGTGGTGTCAATTTCTAAAAACGGATGTCCAATGTCCGTCCAATGTCCAATACTTACGTCGACTGTCCGTCCAAAAATGTCCAAGCCAGCCATTTGTCCAAAGATGTCCGACATCTACGCAATAGTTTACACTCAACACTGTTACAAAATTTGCTTTTAAAGTATCGTTACCAGCTCAAAAGTGTTAATCATATCGAAAGCTGAGCTTTCTAATAGCCAATCAATGTTAAACACAATTACTTTACAAAAATGTTGAGGTGTAGCAAGCGATTGTCCAAAGTTGTCCAAAGCCTGTTGTCATTGTCCAACCGAATTCCGAATTGGACATTGGGGCCGTTCAAAGAGTCAAAAA